CAAAGGAGAAGTGCTCACTAACACAGATTTAGACAGATTTGTGAACAATATTTGAGAGAAATAGGCTTTTTGTGTACATAGAAAAAGTCTTAGATCTTTGAGTTCAGCTCATGAAAAATAGGGGCAAAAACAAAAGTGTTGCGTTTATATTTTTGTTCAGTATATTTGTCATTTTTATTTTAATATTACATTTTATTTTATTATTTAATTTTATTATATTATATATATACACACACACACAAATATATATATATACACATACATACAAATATATACTGTTAATTAAATCAGTAGTCAATCATCGGGGACACACACAGCACACAAATGGCGTTGTTTTCTGAGAAAGACCCTCCAAAAATTTAAGTACAGCAAAGATAAAACCACTCGCCTCATGTTGCAACAAGTGAAGTGTTACAAAATCCTCATTTGAATTGATTAGGCTACAACCGCAGTTCACAAACTCTGGAGGTATTTGAACTCTGCATACAACAGTAAGCCATACAGGACTACAGCATGTTGCAACCTGCCCTCTCCTTTAATCAATCATCCATACGATCACAGTCATTGTGGAGCCCACTGATAAGAGTGAGTGTACGGGGGCTGTGATGTTGATTGAAACTGAATCATGTGTCAGTAGCCTATCAGGAGTAGACAGAGGTGTTTATATGACGTATACTGTATATAAGCGTCCATGGACCATCTAGATTTTGTTGCTGTATCTGGGAGAAAGACTGCAGCTTCACCATGAAGCAGTGTGTGGTATTGATGATGGCCTTCCTGTGCGTCCATGGGGCCCCTGTGGACGTCTTGGCCCCAGGATCCTGCCAAGATGCGGTAGCTAGCGGTGCTGCTGCTGAAGCTATGAACAAAATCAATCTGGACCGCACAGAGGGCTACGTTTTCAGCCTTGATCGTCTCACCAATGTCCATCAGATGAAGCATGTGAGTCACTTTCATGGATACTTTTACATTCCATATTAATATTCACTATAAAAAAAAAGCAATCATTTAAGTAGTCATTTAATCTCAGATATGTTTCTAGGGATCCTATAAGGCAACTCAATCCTTTAAGAATGAAATTAAATTCTGCATCAACTGAAATTATTTGGTGAAATTATATTTTAATCTGGTGTCTGTCTATAGGGATGCAATTCCTTCGTATTTTACATACAGATTTTTACAAATGTTTACAATGTTTTCTTTTAGGGTGAGACAGGAATTGTCTTCTATCTCACATTTGATGTTTTGGAGACCAAGTGTCATGCCATCAGCAAGAAAAACTGGAGAAATTGTGAAATCCGAAACCCTGAACAGTACCCAGTATGGTTTTGCTGATTCTTAAAAATATCTTGTTAATGATGTTTGTTCTTCATTCTAACAGCCTTTTCAATCGACAGGTCTATGGACAGTGCAAGGCCGTTATGTACATGAACAGAGTTCACAGAGTGACCCGCCTGTACAAGTATAGCTGTACCGTGAGACCAGGTAATAACCAATCACCAGCCAGCTGTTTTTTATCATCATATGCTTACAGAAGGCAAATACAATAAAATAACACTCCCTCGGCAGTGCCTGCCTCCAAAATCAGAGAACGGTGCCCAGATTGCCCTGTGCAGCTCCCCGAGGATCATGAAGCAGCCTTGAGGACAGCGAAGATGGGCATGGAGAAATACAATAACGAGAGTGCATTGGCAAACTACTTTGTTCCTCTAAACATTACAAGAGCTTTCTCTCAGGTGAGTAAGTGAGCAAGTTACTTAGGATGAAAAGAATGAAAGAAAAACACTATTTTCATCACTGTATATTGATATGATCATCTTTCTAGCTTCACTTTGGAAGATTCTACAGTGTGGAGTTCACCATCCAAGAGACGGTCTGCTCTTCCAAAACCAATAGTGCTGATGTCTCTAAATGTGAGGTCATGGCATGCGAGTTTGCGGTAAGTGACAAGGAGATGCATACAAATTCTGTCATCATAAGTTGTGTTTGTCTTTGCCAATAAAAAGGAATGTTTATCACATGTTACTGATCTTTCAATGTTTAGCACAAAGGATTCTGCAAAGCCTCTCACACTGTCACAGCCACCGGAGAGGAGCACCTCAGTGTTCAGTGCGAAATCTTTGAACCAGAGGTAAGATCACCCATTTCCAGCAGCATTGAATGTGTTTGTGATCAAAACAAGCCACTTTTCTTAAACGGCTAATTCACCACTGGCAAGTTTTAATAAAACTTGGTTGTCAATGCAGTAGAAAAGTGATTGCCTAATCACAGTCATGCTGATATAGAACCGGTATCGCTCTCGTACTCGAGTGATATTGCTCATATAATGACTATAGAAAAAAATAGAAAAAGGGTAAAACTTGTGGAAAAAATTTTGAATGTACGATCTATATTTTTCATAAAAGTCATGGACTTTTGCTGACAAACAAATGAGCATATCTTGGTGCAGTAACACGGAACAAGAGTACACATTGCTTATTTACATAGTGTTGGGGAGTAACTAGTTACATGTAACGGAATTACGTAATTTCATTACAAAATAAATGTAACTGTAATCAGTTACAGTTACTGAGAAAAAAAATGTGTTATTAAATTACAGTTGCTTATGAAAATGTTAAATATTACAAAGGGGGTTAGGTAACACTTTATAATAACTTTCATTAATAAATCATTAACAAACATTACATCATGTTTAACTAATAATTTCTTAATATATATTCACATATCTAGAAATATGAGATAATGTGCTTGTTAATGTTAACTAATGAACTTATTAAACATTACCAAATGATTAGCAGATCATTATTTAATGTAAATTGAAATGCTTACAAATGTCATTAAAATTTCAATTCATATGATCATGCATTTTTTTTTAAATCGTCAAATGATTTTGAGAGATGGTTTACAATGATTAAAAACTTCATTAATAAATCATTAACAAACATTATACAATGCTTAACGGATCACTAGCTAATGGTTACAAATGTCATTAAACATTCAATGCGTTTTAAAAAATCTTCAAATGATTTGAACAGAAATTACACAATGATTACACATTTATTTGTTAATGTACTGTTGAATGCTTACAAGTGTCATTAAACCTCCGTTCACATATTAGCTAATGCTCATTTTTACATGTACACATGTTGTGAAAATATACATGGCTTAATTATTAATTTTAAGCACTTCACAAACTATTCATGTTAATATATTCATTAATATATTAATTATATTCACTCATAATCACAGCCTGTAAAGGTCGTATATTTGGTCTTTGTTTGTTGTGTAGACTTCTATTATTTGCACATCTTAAATAATTTATTAATAATTTGTTAATGTTTTTGCAGTACCCAATCTAAAGTGGAAACTATTCTTCAATTGTAAATGTTTATAAACATTTACTAATCATTAGTACCTTCATGAGCAGTCATTTTGATGGCAAAAAGTGTCTAAAATGACTGGAATTTACCTTATTTTCACGTCTTCACAAATCATTTATTAATCATATGTTCATGCTTTTTTGCAGTACCCAATCTAAAGTTGAGACTATTCATCATTTGTAAATGTTTATAAACATTTACTAATTTTTTAGTATCTTTACTGACACTGGACTTTTAGCTACTGTAACAAAGTTCATGTAAAGGGTGGTTAGTTAAGTTTAGCTAAATGTTTGGTAAAGACATATCACACATTGTAATTTGGGTACAAAACATGTTTGTATTGCCTCAACACTTATATTAGTATACTACTGTACAGTATATCGTTAAACAGAATATTCCTTGAATCATACATAAACAGGAGGGGGGAAAAACAACAACAAATTTTCAAGAAAATACTTAATTTATAATTTATCAAAACAACGCAATATAAACAGACTGAATCGTGTTCCCTTATAGTAATCAAATTGACCCTGTACACTGTTGACCCCTTAACCAACCCTTAAACCAACCCATACACCATACCTGTCCCTAACCTTACCCGTATCACCCCTCAACAGCAGCAAGTGTTGTGCATTAATAAAAGCTTTTAATCATTGTATAACATCTGTTAAAATCATTTGTAGATTTTCAAGAAGTACATGATCATATGAATTAGAAGTTTAATGACATTTGTAAGCATTTTAATCTACATGAAATGTTAATTATTAGGTAATGTTTAATACATTTATTAGTAAACATTAACAAGTACATTATTTCACGTTTCTAGATATGTGAATATATATTAGCTAACTACCCGTTAAGCATTACATAATGTTTGTTAATGATTTATTAATGAAAGTTATTATAAAGAGTTACCGGGGGTTACATCTGAATATTTTCACATATATACAGATTTAATCGATTTCTTTCATAAATTACATTGACTGCTCTAAAATATGAGACACCAATATTTCAGGAGTTTAGGTCACAGAATAGGACACCTGCTTATTTGATAACTGTTTTATTTCCTATTTGGGTTTATGTATATGCTTTATTTTTTTAAGATTAACTGTCCCCCCCAAAAGCATTGCTAGATGCCAGTGTTTCCTGTCAGAGTTATTCAAAGATTTGATTTCATTATGATTTAAAATGTGTATTTCACCTCAGAATGATCTCAATTTAAAAAGAGGTTAATTCAAGTGATGAGGGATTCTGAAAGCCTGACAGTAATCAGTGTTGAGTCCTACTGTAAGATTAACCCTGCCTGCTTTAAATGTTTCAAAATGATTAACAGTTGAAAACATTTGTTTAGAAAAGTAATCAAATGTAATCAGTTACATTACTTTAACAAAGTAATTGAAATAGTTACACTACTTATAACATTGCAATCTGTAACCGATTACATTTCGAAAGTAACCTTCCCAACACTGCTACCGACATTGTAACAATACAAAGCAATACAAACAATAACAATACAAAGCTGGCTAAAAATCAGCAAAGTTATTCGTATATACTTTATGGCATATTCTTATTTTGATTGTAGTTTATTGTTGTTTTTAGGCTGCTGAAGAAGAGAAGAAAAAACATTTGATTGGAGGTGAACTGGATCATAGCCATAGCAGCACAACTGGCTCGGCTACTGGACACGACCATGACCATGACCACACCAAACCGCTCGCACATAAACATGACCATGAACACACCTCAGGCCACCACCACACACACGAACATGGCAAGGGTCATGGACACACCCACTCTCACGATCATGACCATGCACACGCCCATCATGCCAAAGCCCATGAGCACGGTCAGGACGAGTGGGAGCACCATCACCACCAGTATGGTCACAAAAATGGTGAGACCCATGAACACGACCATGAGCTGGTCCTGGACCACGAGCACAAACACAGACATCTCCATGAGCACGAGCACCACCACCACGATCATGAGAATCAAACTACAGTTAAGCGTCCTGTTGGCATGGTCAATGTCCTTCCTCCCATGGATAAGCCCATGACCCTTCCATCCTTCCCTGACAAGCCCGCTGCAGGACCAGAGCAGCCCTCCACCCTCCCGTTCCACCCTGACCCCCAGATACCAGGACAAAGGGAACCCACCATCCATCCCTTCCCTGACACCATGTCCCCTGAGTGTCCTGCGCAGTCTAACATCCAAAACGGACTCCTCAAGCAGGTCATCAGTGAGGATCCGCTCTTTAACCCCACTGTGTAGAGTCCTTTGAATAATTAATATAGAGTGTAATAAATACTGCAAAGGGTGATATTATGCTTTGTGCATTAAAGCATGTTTGGCTGTCATTGCTAGTTGTGTGATGTTTATTTTCAAATGCACAGCATTCATCTGAGCAAAATCTAACCTGCTGAGATCAGGCATGTTCATTTATCACATCTGTTCCTGATCTTTCACTGTTTAGCACAAAATATTCTGCAAAGTTAATGTTTTAAATGCAGATAGATTGATTTCTCCTTCTCTAAACTGTTTCTCAAGTGCCCGGGCTCTCTCATTGCCACTGCTGCTACGTGAATATGATGCATCAAAACACTACGGAGTCACACAGGATATAGATTAACATGGCAGAAGTAGAGCTGCATCTTTCAAAGTGAACTATCTGCACAATACTGAATTGCAACGCGTCATAATTTTCCCATTAGCCTACATCGTACTGCATTGAATAGCATTGTGTTAAATCGAATCGAATCGGATCGCACTGCATTGTATTAGGAGTGAATCGCATTGCATTGGTAGCTGCTTTAAATGTATCTTTAATGTATCATATAGTTAGCTATGCATCGAGATGCATATAGCATTGGCCTGTTATAGAGATGCACATCCCTAGTAAACACAGGTCACAAGTTAACACGGGCACATTTCCTTGATTTCGCCAGCTGCATAATGTCACGCCGAGAGTAAAATCCTGACTTCAATCCAAATATTCGCAGCTGAACCAGTGCAGTTAGATAGCTCAGTGTGTTCCTACTGTCATCTCACAGGTTACAGCACAACTTTTTTTAGTGCATGTTCGAAACTCATGCCAAGCAGACTTTTCTGTTTATTTTCTGTACTTCAGTCATTAGGGGCTATCATGCCAATAATTTGTAATATTTACAAGAATACCAAAATCACAAGTCTGCATTTATTAGACAGCTTAATATCACGTCAGTTTGTGCTGTCAGACTCGGCAAATCTACTGGGGTCATCCCATCACATCTGCAGTGGAGGACCTGAAACCGGAAGTTGGTCACCAGTTAACACGGTCAGCAGTGTTGTGTATTGCATTCCAAGTGTTGCACATTCTGTCCTTACGACACCCCGTACTGGTTCTCTGTAGGGCTGTCAAAATGGCTGAAAAACTAAATTCAAATTTTTTACAAAATAATGCTTATAAACCATATATAATTAATAAAGTTGCTTAAACAATTATATGTATAGTTTAATACAAAGGACCGAAAACCAATCACAAAGAGTACTTTCTTCATTTAAAAACTTGAGATGCAGTGGGATGGGGAAAATCGTCATAAAGTCTTGAGACATGTTTTTTAAAAGTTGAACTTGCATTAATTTTAAATGGCTTTCTAAACATGCGGCTCTCTTCTGCGAGACGCGAGTGCAACGGTGATAGATGTCCCTCTAGAAAATGCGATAAATATGCGTTCTGTGTGAACAGCTTGGTTTCGGTTTTGACGTAAACAACATCTTCTCTGCATTGATTGTTCTCTTTTTCTGCAATATTTTGAATGAACAACGTAGCAGTGCCGCATCTAGTGGGTCAACTGGACAGGCTAACAAAAGCATTAAAATGCAATGACACTTACATCGTCATCGCATTTCGTGCGCCACTTATAAGGCTGCCTGAAGGCCCGGGTATACTTCACTTTCCGCGTTCCGTTCGGTCTCGCGCACAGCCGCGTCCGCACAGCTTTCAAAGTATACTCAACCGCGGATGAGTGCGGACGGACGAGCTCGAC